GGCAGAGCCTTCAGTTTTCAGGCCCCTCTTCTGTGGAACCAGCTTCCAGTTTGGATTCAGGAGACAGACACTATCTCTACTTTCAAGATTAGGCTTCAAACTTTCCTTTTTGCTAAAGCATATAGTTAGGGCTGGACCAGGTGACCCTGAATCCTCCCTTAGTTATGCTGCAATAGACGTAGGCTGCCGGGGATTCCCATGATGCACTGGGTGTTTCTTCTTCACTCACTATGTGTTAACAGACCTCTCTGCATTGAATCATATCTGTTATTAACCTCTGTCTCTCTTCCACAGCATGTCTTTATCCTGTCTTCCTTCTCACAACCCAACCAGTCGCAGCAGATGGCCCCGCCCCTCCCTGAGCCTGGTTCTGCTGGAGGTTTCTTCCTGTTAAAAGGGAGTTTTTCCTTCCCACTGTCGCCAAAGTGCTGCTCATAGGGGGTCATATGATTGTTGGGTTTTTGTTGGGCTGTATAAATAAAATTGAATTGAATTGAACCAGTGCGTGAACATCAAGGGCATAGCCCTGGAGTTATTTAGATCCGATTTAGCAGATTGAACTTTCTGTGGTCGCCTTGGTGACTACAAATACTCCTCCACTCCTTTTCAGGGCTCAGTTTGATTATTTTCATGAACCCAGATTTTTGTCCTTCTTAAAAAGAATGAAGCATATTCTGCTAGATTGCTGCTCAAGTGTCTTGAAAACATAAAGGCCTGGATGGCTCTCAACTTTTTAAATTTTAATGAGAAAAAGTCAGAAGTGATGGTGTTTGGTGATAACGCTCAACCTGGGTTCCTTTGTTCAGTACGTAGAGTCGACTGTCACAAACCTCGGGGACGGTGGAGCGTAAAGCTCATGGTGATCTGAGATGGAATGAGCCTTTATGAGGTGTTTTGACAGTCCAGTAAAGTCTTGCTAAGTGTTCTGAACATCAACTACTGGTCAAATCTTTAACTGCTAGTGGGGGGGGGGGGCTGCCCCTCCATAGTGGTGCTATGTGATGTGACAGCTAAAGGAGGGAAAGAAACTAATGAATGTTTGTTTTGTTTTGTTTTTGTACAGTCCAATAACACAAACTAAGCAACCCAACGAGGCAACAGTAACGAAATAACTCCCCTGTTTTGCAACGTAAAGTTGGTGTTTTTGTCAATTAAGTCTGGTGAACTGTAGCAGCTTCACTTCCTTGTTAAAAAGAAGCAGATCAAGAAGTGAAAATGTCTTATATACAGTGCTCAAGTCATGATGACTCTTTTAGGTTACTTCGGGGCGCCACAGAAGTACATTGCTTTAGGTTTTGCGCCAGCTGCTACTGCTCTCTGCTCTCTGCTCGGGAAAGTGCCTACTGTCATCTACTGGAGTTAACAAATTGTGTGGATCAAACTCACACATAACTGACTGAAAATAGTTTACCCAGTGAAAGTATTATTATTGAAACCATGTTTTTTTTAAGTTTTAAATGTTGATGAGAAAAGGTGATGGTGTGTGGTGATAACAGTCAGACCCCATTTGTTGATCTGGGGTCTCAGTACATAAAGCCAACTGCCACGAACCGTGGGGTGAAAGTGGACGCTGAACTTCAGTTTGAGAGTCAGATCATGGCCCTGATTAAATCGAGCTTTTTACAAGTCTTGTCGGTTTTTAAACCTCTTCTTAAAACCCTTCTTCTCCATGGCCTGTAACATCTGTGATATGTTGATTGTGCTACAGCTCGTGATTTTTAAATATAACCTATGCAAATTAATGAAATCCTTAATTTTTTTAAAAATAAAATAACAATAATAATGTATTCCTTACAACACTGAAAAAACTACAAAAATATGGAATTATGTAGCAGAGAAAAATGATAAATAGTTGTAAGTATGTCTTATATTTTAGATTCCTGAAAGTAGCCACACTTTGCTTGGTTGACAGTGCTGTTAGTGACCCTCGGCCTTCTCTCAATGAGCTTGATGATGTAGTCACCTGAAATGGTTTCTCTTCACAGGTGTGAAGGTGTCAGGGTTCATTTGTGGAATTTCTTGCCTTCCTAATGAGATTGGGAGCATCAACCCTATTAAGAAGACAACAACACTCCATCGTTACTTTAGGAACTGAAAGTCAGTCAGTCTGGAAAATTGCTAAAACTTTGAATGTGCAGCCGCAAACACCATCAAGTGCTATAATGAAACTGGCTCACATGAGGACCGCCCCCGGAAAGGAAGTCCAAGAGTCACAAACACACCTCTAGGCTGTGTAAGGGCTATTTGACCAAGAAGGAGAGTGATGGAGTGCTGCGCCAGATGGCCAGACCTCCAAAGTCACCTGACTTAAATCCAACTGAGATAGTTTTAGGATGAGATGGACCACAGAGTGAAGGCAAAAGTACCAACCAGTGCTCAGCATCTCTGGGAACTCCATCGAGACTGCTGGAAAGCCATTTCAGGTGACGACCTTATGAAGCTCATGGAGAAAATGCCAAGAGTGTGCAAAGCAGCAATCAAAGCAAAGGGGGCTGTTACGAAGAATCTAAAATATAAAAGTTATTTCACAGTTTTATGTTTACTGCATAATTCCATATTTGTTCATTCGTAGTTTTGATGCCTTCAGTGAGAATCTATAATGTAATGTATGCCATGAAAGTAAAGAAAAACCATTAAATGAGAAGGTGTGTTCAAGCATTTAGTGTATATACGTGTACACTACCAATCACTTCATCCTAAAACAACTGAGATATATTTTCTCTATATAACTCCATCGCTCGCTCATCTTTCCTGCACTAAACTGATTTAAAAAAAAACATAACTCGACATAATAACAAGTTATTTTATTTATAATTGATATAAATAAAATAACTTGACATTTCTCATATCTGAAAGGACACCCTCCTCAAATGTGTTTTTAACCCTATAATGCCCTCAGTATCATATTTGATACGTGAGTTTCTGAGACCTGTTTCATCAGCATAATCAATACTTTCCATCATTTCAAAATTTTATGGACTAAACTCTTTTTTTTTGTCTAAAATTAACATTGTTGTTAAATAAAAGTTGCCAAAAATACAAAATGTATCAAATGCGATACACAAATTATATAATAAATATATAATAAAAATATATCATACACAACATAATAAAGCAACAAAAGATGTGGATTTTGTTATTAAAGGTTAATAAACATCTCAGTTCCAAAAAATCAGAATTTTCAGGCTATTTTTTGATGGGTTGAGTCTTACAGGGATAATATTCCACAAAGATATTCTGATGAATTTTGTGAAAACTTTGTGAAAACAAAAGATTATAACATTACAGAGGTTGACTAAAATCATTATAGGTCCACACCATGTGCAAAAGGTTATAAACATTCAGTATTTCCGTTTGATACAGCAGTAATCTAGCACCGCCTACATATGTAAGATATTCTAAAGCAGCACAAAGCCCTGTTGTTCTGCAGTATCGAGGGGTTAAAAATTCTCCAAACATTTCCTGATGAGAGCTTCATTTAAAAAAAGTATCCGTATCAGTTTATGCCTTCAAGAAAAAACATACCAGCAGTGTATGTGGGCCCTGTCATACACCCTCCTACTATTAAAAAAAATAAAATGCACACAAACACACATATCTGGGTGCACACACACATATGCGCATTTCTGACATATATATTGACTATATATAACAACTATGTAAACAACAACTATTTAAAACTATGGATTACTATGACAAAAATATGAATAGAAACCACTCATATAGCCAGAAATGCAACTATCCTGCAAAAAATGTTAAGAAATTTTAAAATGTGACTGGAAAGATACACAAACTAAAGCTTCAAATTATTTGTGCATATTGGACCTTCATTCATTGAAGCAGTTCAGCAGAATGCTCAGTTCAGTTTAAGCAGTTTTTATTTATAGAGCCAATTAAAGCATTTTACACTGTGAGGTGAAATTCAACTGAACTCTAACGTCTAACTGAAACTGATTCGTCATCCTGTTACCTTCTAAATGATGTCAGGAATTTCCCACCTTTAGTGTTATCTTACAGCAATTAACTGTTCAAATCTTGTCCCGCTAACAGCCAAATATGGGCTCATTCACACGGAGGTGCTCACAGAAGTTCACATTTTCACAATCTGATGAAACAACAACCAAGTTCTATACAAAAAGCATGATATAGAACGTGTTTAGAAAGCTCTTCTGCACTGTTACCCAGTGAAGACAGGCAGTGTATTTACACCTTTGTTCTATGCAGGCTTCTCCGCTTTCCCTAAACGAAACTACTGTTTAGCTACATGTGATTTTAACTTTACCTACACGCATAGTTTCTGCTGGATGCATTTGTGTAAAATATAGTTAAATTATTCATTATGTGCTTTCTATGGCTTTTTTCATTTTGATAAAAGTATATCACAATATCCAAAGCTAAAGACTAAAGACCAACTTTAAAATCTTACATATATAACATTTAATATGACACTATAATTTGAACCTCTATATCTCTTATAATATAAATAAATTTCATTCTAATTTGATCCTTATAGGAGTCTGATGTATATCAGTCTGTGGGTTTACGGGTCAATACTGTGACTATCAGGTATTTTTTGCCTTTCAAAACGCCTCTATGAAACTTCAATTTCTTGCTTGAGCTAAGAGAACAGAAACAAAGCCAAAAACTGAGTTTTTTAAGAAAAATAAAAGCGAACTAGTATTGAGGATTAAGTAGTGGGCAGCATCCGCATCCATATTCAGACAGTCTTTCCATCGCTGATGTTCAAAACAATGAAACTGACCAAGCGAACCCAAATCTTCGCATCGAAGTTATGCAAATATATAATAATCATTAAAACAAAACAACAGAGGCTCGCCGAACCAAAATGTGAGGCTATGAAATGACTTTTCACTCTCCATTCTCTTCTCCATTTCACTTTGGTGACAAAGAGCATCTAGACAAAGACTGCTGTGTTTTTCTTCAGGTGTTTCCCTGAAGAGTTCTCTCTCTTGTGACAATAATTAAACCACTGGACCTACCTGAGAGGTAAAGAACGAGCGCAAATCCGTTCAGAATCATGGTGGTCTTGTTCGGGGCACCCATTGGAGGGACGGGGAGGGGGGAATTAAAAAGGAGGATGTGGGACGGGACGCGGTGCGTTCTCGGCTAGTCCGTGGTGCGTTCTCGGCTAGTCCAACAGCACCGCTCAGTAAGACACACAGCCCGCTGCTACATTTACCGCACTGACACTATCCGTGCGTCCCCCTGTTCTCTGCCCTGCGACGAGAAAGTCCTTTAAGTTTCAGTCTCCAGAGAAAAGAAAGGAGAAGCCTCGGAGGAAGGTCTCGGTGCAAAGTACGCGCCAGCGAGAACGCTCCGAGAGGGAGATTGTGACTGCTGTTGTGCCAAAGGTTCGCTTTCACGCAGCTCTGCTCGGAGAATTCAACTGGATGGAGCAAATGTGACTGGGCTACAGCTGTGCACGCAGACAGTCATAACGCGGCTTCGTTTGGTCCCGGTGCATTCTGCGATCACAATGCTGACAAACAGCGGATGTTGGGGTTATAAACTGGTGATATCCCTCCTCCTACACCCCCTGAGATCATCATCATCATCATCATCATCATCACCACCACCTTTAGGAACTGGCGGATGAAAACAGTCATTGTAAAGAGGGTAGTCACGCTGTAAACTGCTTTTTCTATTTCTGTACCCACCAAACACTGCGCACAGCCTCAACTCACTTTGGCCCAGCGACATTTATTCTCAGTTCTAATTATAAAATCACAAACATGCGCATTTACACTAACATCACTGAAGTAGTCAAATATTCGACCGTTTAATAATTTGGATGCTAGAATATCTACACACCAAAAAAAAAAGACAATTGATGCAACTTTCGACCATCAGAATTAGTTCTGTAGAATTAGATCACGGAAACGGTTTTGCATCCTGTAATGACTACAAGGACATCATCATCACAACACTAACAGCCTCAGTGCCGTGGTAGCAACAATCTATAGACTAGAGAGAGAAAATTAATCACCAAAGCCAGTGCTGAGTCTTACAGTTTTAAAGAAAATGTTAAAAGAAAAGAATTTAAATGTAAACAAAACAAAACAAACAAGCAATAAAAAAAACCTTCTTCACCCACCAGCTGTTCTTGATCCACACCTGCCATGGTACTGGATCTGTGACCCAGTGTTTTGGGTTTGTTGGTTAATTCATATTTTTGACTTTTGTTATTCCTGGTTCTGGTTATCTTTGTTTCTTAAGTTCTCAGCGATATTAGTTCCTCCTCCCTCAGGGTTTCTCTTAGCCTTTATTTGTCCCGGTTCTGGCCCTTTTTGCCCCAGGATGTTGAGTTTGTTTGGTATTATTCTGTATTATGTTTATGTTCTTTTTCACTATTTGTGCTGTTTCGATTATTATTGTTTCGGTTCAATTCTTACACTTACACTTAGATTCTTAATTCACACACCATGAAGTTTTCTGTTTTTGATTTCCATCATTCCTAGTTCTGTGCGCCTTCTTTCCTAGTGTTTCTGTTACATACATACATGTATATAGCAGTATACACAGTATACAATGTGCCGGAATTCTGTTTCACCCCAAGCTCCCCATGGTGCATTTATAAGTATATAAAATATATATCTCCAAGAGATATAAAACTAGAAATTACAAATAAATAACATGCCAAATTTCAGTAAAATTAAGGGATACAAAGGTACTAATGACTAATTATACAATACTATAATGATAACTATACAATACTAAATGTACGATAAACAAAAACAGGACAGAGCCAATACGAAGTGGATTGTGTCATGATATTGAATACCAGGTTCAAGTTATTGTCCATTTCTAGTGTTTTAGTTCTTAGCTTCTACTTCCCACATAGCAAAATTGGTATGGCCTAGATCTGGCCCACACAATGTGCTTACACATGGCCCACATACCGCAAAGAATGACGGCCCTTTGGTGGCCCAGATCTGGTTTGCCAGAGGTGGCCCACACATGGGCCAGCACAAGGCCAGTTGCAGAAACACTGGTGGTCCTATGCTGGTTTCAGCCCCAGATGTCAGCCTAATGTCAGGTGTCAGTTTTGGCCAGCGGTCATAGGTCCCTTCCAATAATATGACGCAAAACTGGAATAAAATGTATCCATGGACTAGAAAACGTTATTAAAAGAAGATATATGTTAACACAGCCCAAACACCAACACCAGCTAAAAGCAAAAAAAAGCTTTATACTCTACCTATTCAGGTGAGCATCCAGACTAACTAATGAAAACGAAAACACAACTCTCCACACAAACAAACATACAACAACATTAGAGCACATAACAAACATATACATATTTCCAACACATACTATAAACAAATCAATAACATAAGCTTCAGCCATTTCTATCTAAATTAAAACCCTTCTTAACCATACTCCCCTAACCTGGGCACACTGGTCTGCTCCAGGAGCTCACAAGCAGGTGATTGAGCTGCTCTTACTCTTTAGCTCCACATTCTGCAAGAAGCAACCAGGACAGGTGAGTACTTTTACCAATTCTGTTAAATAAAAAATGAATGCCTGAAGGAGGAGCTTACGCTCAGCTAGGCACTCCCCTATGCTAACTGGAGAGAGCGTCGCAGATACAATACAACTAAACAAACGACTGGCAAACAACACACCAAAACTTATTAAATTTACTGATTGCTGTTAGTAAATTTATTAACAGTAATTTCCGCCAGCGCACCTCTGGCAGAGGTCAGAGGCCAGCGCGCCTGCACAGTCTGCATCTTCACACTCTTCTACCACACCACACAATCACTGGCCATTTTCCGGGCCATTAACTGCAGAGCTTCGCCTGCACCGGTCATCTGAAGGCAATTGTCTCTGGTGTGAAGATACGAGATGTGCAGCAGCTGAAACTACGGATACTGGATGCCTGTGCTGGCATTTCTCCTGCGGTGTTGCTATCAGTGTGTGAAGAGTGGGAGAAGAGGGTTGCATTGACAGTCCAACACAATGGGCAGCACATTGAACACATTTTATAAGTGGTCAGAAACTTGTAAATAACTCATGAAAGAATAAAGTTACATTGAAACCAAGGACACCATTGTTGTTCTTGTGACATTACCAATAAGTCTGATGTGTCACATGGCCCTTTTCCTATTGAAAAAACAAAAGTTGTATCCAAGATGGCCGACTTCTAAATGGCAACCATGGTCACCGCCCATCTTGAGGAGTTTGCCCCTCACATATACTAATGTGCCACAAACAGGACTTTAATATCACCAACCATTCCCATGTTATTACGCTGTATCCATAGAAATGGCCCACCCTGTAGATCACCTTCAGATCCCCTCGCAACCGCCTCAAAGGATCAAAGATTTCTTCACAAACCGGCCTCAATCCATTAAGCTCGGCACCCATCTCTCAGCTCCACTCTCATACTGTATACCATCCCACTCAACCAACATCATCGGTAAGTATGCCAGTGATACCACTTTGACTGGTCTCATCTCTGATGGAGACAAGACAGCTTACAGGGCAGAGATAGAGAATCTGTCCCACTGTCGCACTCAGAAAATAACCTGAAACTGAATGCCCTCAAAACAAAAGAACTCACCATGGACTTAAGGTGTCATGGTCTGGGTGGGCACCTGCAGGTCTCTGACAGCGGCCCCTCCTCCTTTGGGCGGAGTTCGGTTGCTCCTCCCTGGCTGACCACCTGTGAGCAATCATGCCAGCAGTATATCAGACCTGCGCTCTCAACCATTCATCGCCTGAGTATCTGCTATCCCCATGTCAGTCGAGTGGAGCATCATGACTCTGTCAGACGCTGTGTGATGTCTTACTTGTTTTTCTTGTCCTCAGAGGTAGCACCTGGAGTGGAGATCTTGTCTCCCTCACTCCCGCCTTCCTGGACCTGGGCCGCCTGCTGCTAACATGACGTGGCCTGCCGGCCCACCACTCACTTGCCTGCCTCCCCACGCTTTGACCGCTTCCGGGCTTCCGCCCCACCTGTCACCTCCACCTGAAACCAAGTAAGGCAACTCAATTCAACTGTGGAGGATCGTTGATTGTCTGCTGGATCCCACTGACCGTGATCTCCTCTTATTCCAGTGTCCCGGCCCCTGCCTAGTCCTGTTTCTACCTCCCCGCTGCCTCTGCTGTTCAGCCGTCTCCTAGAGGTGTCTAGGTCGCCCTCATTATCGTAGATAATCCTACGCGCCACGAGTGTGGTGGCGCCGCTTTGCTTTTGCTTTTGTTTGCCTGTGGGCGGAAATAAATAATTTGTTCCCTACCGTCTCGCTTCCGGGTTGGTTTCTGCACCTGTGTCCATCTTTGTTCCCTCGTGCCGCTGGGCCGTGACATAAGGAGGTGCAGACAGGTTCACTCTTCTCTCATTATAAATGGAGAATGGATGAAATCCATCAACACCTTCAGGTTTCCAGGCAGCCATATCACCACCAATCTCACCTAGACCCACAATGCCACGCCAGGTAAAGAAGACCCTTCCCACGTGTCTTGGGGAAGAACAACCTGGACCAGAAGTTGCTGCTTCAAACCCAACCCTGAATTGAATAAGGGGGTGTATGGATGTATGTATGGATGGGTGGACAGATGTATGTATGGATGGATGTATGTATGGATGGATGGATGGATGGATGGAGTTCATCACATATAATATTGTGTTATTATAGATAAATTTACCCAGTGGTAAATGAGGCACCCTAAGATAAAAGTCAAACCATTTGCTCCTATAAATTATATATGATTCAAATATATATTTATGCATGTACATGATTGTAGAGTCAAGTATTGCTGCCATAACTAGGCCAAGACCCATAACAGATTTTGCACTAACCAACTAACCCACTAAAGCTACCAGTTTTTGAGGATCTGAATTAACTTTCAGATAATAAATAAATAAACAAAAAACCAATCTGCTGTAAAGTCTCTTTTACTCTGCTAGAAACACAGAACAAACCCCAGGAATACCAGTTCAATCAATGCAATGAATTTCACTCTTATTTATAACAATATTGAAGGAATGTCCATGTCTCCTTTATTAGCCTATGGGACAATAAGCTTTAATGTTTAACTAGATCCCGTTTAAAGTTTCAGAGCTCTAATGTGCAGCCATTACCTTAGAAATAAACAGCAAAATCTGCTCAGGGCAAAAACTTTTAACTGGAGTTTAAATGTTTATTGTGTGTGCTGAATGACCAGATTTACTGAAGAATTTTCTCTTTCTGTTTGCTGATAGTAAATTGTGTTTATTCTTAATCAAACATGTAATCAAAATATAAGTCTGATTAATATGTTAAATAAGAAATAAAGTGCAGGGATGGAGAAGATGTGTTGCCAACCCATCATTATACATGATTTTGAATAAGAGTAATGATATTAAGCATTCAAGTGTTGAACACAAAAC